TATGATTAAAAGTAAGGAAAAATTTTGAGTATACGTTTAATATTATTTTACTGAAAAATGTGATGTTGAAATAGAGTTAAATTACTGTTCAAAAATACATTTTGATAAGAAAAATGGTGCTCAAATAAGGGCATAATCTTTCGAGGGTTTCTTTTGCTGTTTTTACCCTGAAATGTGTTCAATTTCTTGGCGTGTGGTTGGTTCGGTTTGGCGGTTATTTCGTATGGTGTCAAAAGAAAGTGCATAGCATGTAATAAGGCTTAGATTTAGTCCATGTTTGACTTTCTTTAAATTAAAATTCTTTATTTTTATACTTATTTTTAATTATAAATTGGATTAAACTACATGTACTACAACATGTACTACATATTTTACTACATGGCCAAGTGGCGGCCTCCAATACATGGCCGCCACTTGGCCATGTAGTAACCCATGTAGTGCATGTAGCATGATCCTTATAAATTTACATATGATAAGTCTCTGTTTGAGCCACATTATTTTTTTTATTCTCATTCTTGTACTCATTTTCAATCATACATTTTTCAATAAAATAATATTTTTCATCACATCAATAACTCTTCCTTCTTTTTCAACCACATATTTACAATCATATCACAAAAAAATGCATTCTTTCCATTTTAATGTACATCAAACACACTCCAAAATATTTTGCACTTAAATTCAAAACATTTCTCTATTTTTTTGACAACACATTGTCCAATAAATTACTATTCAAAACATTATAATGTTTTCCCTCAATTTCTCTTCGTAATTCATTGTCCACAATGTCTTGAGAAAGCTGATTCCACTTTTGCATTTTAAAATGTTTTGTTACTGTAGATTAATGCATCGTTGACCAAAACTCTTATTATAATGTGCTCCAAACGGGAACTTAGTGTAACGCAATAATACGTATGGGATTATTAGACCGAGTTCGAACCCCTTGGAATTACGAATTTTAGACTTCAATCCTAATCTTTCTCGATTCTCCCATGTAATGCCACCATTCTGATCACAAACTTGAATTATAAAAAAATCAGGACCTACGGTTTGTTCGTTTTGCTGTTTTCAAGCTATTTTCAATTTTCATTTTTTGAAAACACTGAAAACATGTTTAGTTATCTATTTTCAGAAACGAATTTCCAAAAACGAGTTTTAAAATTACAAAGAAAACGGAAAACGCCAAAAGAGTCGTTTTGACTGTTTTCAGTTAAAATTAAGCCAAAACTTCATATTTTTTTTTTT